TAGACTGTCAGCCTCCTTCCTCTCAGGAGAACCGTGCCTCTTTCATTAGCAGGTTGTGATATGTGTGCCCTGTGCCCAAGGGAAGTGAGCCCACAGCCCTGTGCTGTTTATGCAGAAGAAAATTACCTGTTGCTATGGAACACTTCAGCAGCCTTTGCCTCAGAGCCTTGCCTGTGTGGTTCCTGCACTGAAAAGAGAGATGAAATAGAATACTCAGTCCCGTTGGGAGGGAAAGGAACACGGACAGCCAGGATAAAGGGAGTCCAGGGAAAGTGGGCATCCCGTGGCATCCCTGTATAGAAGATGGAAATTAATTATTTTTTCCTGAGTTCAGATTTAAGAGCTATAGAATGTGAACTGTAAACAATTTTTTGTGATTTAGGTAAGTTCAAAAAAATAATAAAAAAACCCCAACAAGTCAGGCATGGTGATCCATGAGTATAATTCCAGAACTTGGGAGGCTGAGACAGGAGGACTATGATGAGTCTGAGGCTAGCCTGAACTGCATAGCAAGACCCTGTCTCAAAAACAAAGTCCCAACTCCCTGGTATTTCTTTCTTTTTTTCTTTCCTTCTCTTTTTGCAGTGCTGGGAGTTGAAACTAGGTCTCACACATGCTAGGCACCTACCTAGTCTACCCTTCAGCTACACCCCTAGCCTAGCTCCCTGTACTGAACGTGAGTATTTAATAAACTTTCAAAAGGAATTAATTGCAGATCTTGCATATAGACATTATGCAGTCATGACTTTTTCCCTCAGTTCTGTCCCAAAGGCTGAGATTCTCATTCTGCTAGTGTGTTGGAGGTCCCCAAGGCCACCTCTAAGTTTAATAATTCTCTTGAAGGACTCGTAACTCAGCATGTAGTTGCTCTTATGCTTATAATTAATTACAGTGAAAAAATACAAAGTGAAAGCAGCAAAGTGGAAAAAAAGGCTCTTGGCCTCTTCCAGAGGAGGGGAGGGAAGGGAAAAACCCTTTTCCTCTGCCGAGTTTAGGTTCTCTGGCTGGAGCCTTGTAATTAGATGCGTGAAAGACATATTGGCAAGAGGAAAAGCAAATTTATTACCCTGTGCATTGTTCATGTACACAAAAGAGCACCCACGGTGAGCAGCCGGGAGGGACGTAGAACTGGGTCCTGTGTCATGTCTTAGGCTGAGAGCAGAGAAGCGATCTGGGGCTTCTGGGCAGGGGAGGCGAGTTATAGGAAGAGATCAGAAAAAGTATGGCAAGCAAGAGTTATTTAGAAAGGTTTGGCAAGCAGTTACGTTGGTGCATCTTCACTGATTAATACAGAGCCTCCTGCTTCCAGGGAAGAGGAGAGGAGACCATTTTTAGAAAGTAAGTAAACTTCATTTCTAGAAGGAAAACGTGTGCCCTGTTGTAGAGCTTTTCCTGCATCTGCTGCTTCTCAAAGAGGTTGAATATTCTGGTACCTGTGGAAGTCATGCAGATTTTTTTCCTCTTTTCTTTTGTAATTTCAGCACTTGGAAGGCTGAGGCAGGAGAGTCACCATAAGTTTGAGACCAGCCTGGAATACATAGTGAGTTCAAGGCCAGCCAAATTTCATACTTTGGAAATTCCTTTGATTTTCTCCTCCTCAGATGAATACTTTTTATTTTTATTTTTGATGGGGATTGAACCTTAGCCTTCTCACACAAAGCTACATCCCCAGTTTTGGGCAGGGAGCAGGGTCTTGCTGAGTCAGTCAGTTGCTCAGGCGAGGCTAGAACTTGTGACCCTCCTGCTTCAATCTTCCAGAGTGCTGGGATCACAGAAGTGCGTCACCACTCCTGGCTTTTATTTCTTCATTCATGTATTTCTGTTAGTCAAAAACTTTACAGGATTATTGCTGAGGTTTTATTGTTGCTGTTATTGCTTTGGGTTTTTGATGCTGGAGGCTGAACCCAAGGCCTTATGCATGCTATGTGATGTTTTCTCCTTTTTGAAGAGAATTTTTCTTTTCTGAAGATTGAACCCTGAGAATGCTGAGCTATATCCCCAGCCTTATTTATTTATTTATTATTTTTCTGTACCAGGGATCAAACTCAGGACCTTGTGCTTGCCAGACAGGCATGGCGCCACTGATGTATTTTTTTTTTTAAATTTTGAGACAGGGCCTCACTAAGTTGCCCAGGCTGGGCTGGAACTGGGGATCCTGCCTGCCTTAGCTTCCCAGTGTGCTGGAATTACAGCCATGAGCCACTACTCCCAGCTGGGACAACTCAGGTGCTCATCATGACTTCAGCTTATTCTTTGAAATATCATAAATTCTTAACCAGTTCGCTCTTCAAACTCATACGCAAATACAAATACTAGAGCATATCCTGAAACGAAATACAAATGAACTTTCACTTGGCTGCCATTTGAGATTGCTTCCCTCATCATCGCAAATAATTTGTTCATCTCTGGTTAAAGAGACTAGAGCTCTCTAACAGTGGGAGTTCCAGAAATAGATGATAACAGCTTTTTTTTTTTTTTTTAAGTTGCCCAGGGAGGTACAGTTCAGTGGTAGAGTATTTGTCTAGTGTGCATGGATTCAATCCCCAATACCCTCACCCTCCAAAGAATTTTTTTCCCAGGGAGTATATATCTTGCAGTCTCAAAGAGACTATGTTTCACTACAAAGATGAACGGTGGGAGGACAGGGATGTAGCTCAGTGTCACCACGCCTGCCTGGCAAGCGCAAGGTCTTCGGTTTGATCCCTGGTATAGGGAGGAGGGGTGGGAGAAAAGTAAAGCCGTGTCCAGCTGGTCGGTCCCCTGGCTCTGACAGGGTCTTTGGCGTTGGGAGCATGTGTCTCCTCCATTCTCTTGTCCTTACAAAAACTCTACCTTCAGAGGAGACAGATGCGGCTTCTTTCGTGACTTTATTCTCTGAGATTCTTTGTTTTGTGGGACCATGGAATTCTCTGTGTGATAAAGAACCAGATTTGCTGTTTCTTTAATGTTTCGATAGTTGACGTTTTTTTAAAATGAATTGCTTAGCTGGTTTTCATACTTTTATTTAAACTATTTAATCTGACAATCCTGATGAGTGGCAGGAACTAATTGTGTATTTGAGAGAGGCTGATTAACAGAACACCCAAATGGCTTCATAGAGCAGACAAGGATAAATCTTTCAGGGCTGGGGTTGTAGCTCAGTTACAGAGCAATTGCCTTCCATGTGGGAGGCTCTTGGTTCATTTCCTAGCACTGAACAAAACAAAAACATAGGAGGAAAAGAAAATCATTTCCCTCTATTGCTCCACGTTCTTGCTTGTCTGGGACCCCTGTAGCAAAAGATAGATTAACAAAAGAAGACCAGACACGTTTTAACATACATATGTCATGTAAGCATGGGTGATACCCACAGAAAAATGAATAACTCCAAAAGAGGTGGTCCAGAATGCAACTTATACCGTGTCTTCCACTAAAAGCAAAGAACGTGTGGAAGAGGCCATTTATAGGGAGGTGACCAGGAAAAGCAAACAAAATAAGTTTTGTTATGCGATTTAATCATTTACCTTCTCCACTGATTAGAGTTTCTTGAGATTTAGTCTTCTTTTTCTTCTTGGTACAGAGAGGAGACACTCGTACAAATTGAGATTTCCTTTATAGATGTGAATTTCCCTTACCAAAGGATAATCTATTTTTCAGAGTTTTCCCTCTATCAGCAATTCCTCAAAATAATCCTTCTGCCATTGAGGCATGTTTTGGGATGCTATCTGTCTTCACCTGTTCTCTGAGTGACTGGTACCAGGGAGCCAAACAAAAAACCTGCCAGTGTTTCTTTACTGGATCCATCTGTCCAGTACTGAATCCATCTGCTCACCACTTTAAAGCAAATGCTTGGGAGAAGAGGGTTGGGAAAGAAAGTAGGTTTATAAAGGGTTGGTACCCTGAGAAAATGAGAAGGAGTTGTCATTGCCTTCAGCCCAAAAAGAGCATCCTAGGGAACTCAGGTACATGAAAGGGAGATGCTGGGGCCACGGGCAGGAAGTCTGTGTGCTGAGCAAGGTCTTTGTGTTGTGGAGCCTTTGACTCCTTTTTTATTTTATTTATTTATTTGGTACCAGGGATCGAACTCAGGACCTTGGGCTTGGGAGGTAGGCGTAGTGCCATTGAGCCAAATCCCTGGCTGGCCCTCTATTTTATTTATTTTTTAACGTGGAGGCCTAAACATTTTAATCAACCTTGATCTCCTAGGGCTAGTCCCAGCAATTCTTCAGACAAACATTATCTTTCTTTCGTTTTTTTTGTTTTTGTTTTTTAGACAGGGTCTCACTATGTAGTTGAGACTGACCTGGAACTTACTATGTAGCCCAGGCTGGTCTCGAACTCACAGCGATCCTCCTGCCTCAGCCTCCCGAGTGCTGGGATTACGGGCATGCGCCACCAGGCCCCGGCAACATTATCTTTCTTAAGTTAAACATCACAGCAAACTACAGGCCTTGTGTTAGTTGATGAGCATAATTAAAGAAAAGCAAGGAGGGGCATTACACATTCTAATGTTTTGTTTTGTTTGGTACCGGGGATCAAACTCAAGTCCTTGTGCGTGGGAGGCAGGCAGGGGAACCACTGAGCTAAATCCCCAGCCCCTACACATTCTAATGTTATGTGACGGTCACCAGAATTTCTTGGTGCTGTTAATTGAAACAAAGTTTACTTAATCATTTAGGTGTGGCTTTTCTTTAGAATGTGAGGCAAAGGGAGAATTTGGAGGACACCTCGCAAAAGGGCAGCCACTATTACAGTGTGGATGTTGTGGATTTGCTCACTGGAGGAGTCAGTGTAACGCGAGCAGGGTGCAGGTGACTCATTCACCCATGTCCCCCCACCCTGTCCTAAACCTCTCAAGCCGCTGTACTGTAGAGCCTTTGGATTCAGTCCTAAATACTGCAGTACATCAAGCAACTCCCCCCTCATAGGCATTTGTGGCAACATGGGAAAAAAAGTCAGTAGTGGTCTCATTTCTTTTTTTTTTTTTTTTTCCTCTCTCCCATGTCCTGCATCCTTACCAGGCCAAAGTAGAAGAAAAGATCCAGGAAATCTTCAATTCTTACAAGTTCAACCACCTTGTACCGAGGTAAGCTGTAGGTAGGGCTCCCTCCCGTGTGGGAACCTGTTGCCTGCTGCAGATCCGTGTTTGCTGACCTTGTGGCTGCCTGGATGTGCATGTGACCTGTATGTGCTCCTGCCTCAGGCCAGCGTACAGAGAGAGGAGACTCCGTGGGGACCGAGTTGTCAGCTGTTCGCTGGGGACGGCCAGGGGACGGCCCTCCAGGCTTGACCTCTGAGGTTTGAGATGGGGAGAGGAGTTCAGGTTTTTTCATTAATTGTGGCATGCTGCTTTGGTGTTTACACAAATGTTCCCAAGTTTCTCTTTTTTTATATTGCATTTTCTTTATTCACTTATTTATTGCTTTTTTGAGACAGGATCTCACTATGTAGTTGAGACTGACCTAGAACTCACTATGTAGCCCAGGCTGCTCTCAAACTCACAGCGATCCTCCTGCCTCAGTCTCCTGAGTGCTGGTATATTGCATTTTAAAACAGAGTCAAGGCGGTAGCCACAGACAGATTCCTTTAATGTAAACTTGTATTATTCTGTGGTGCTGGGAATTAACCCAGGGCCTAACTCATAGTAGGTAAGTGTTCTACCACTGAGCTACACACCTAGCCTTAAATTATTTGACTGGAAAAGTGAGAAATTTGAGTTGGTACCTCGTTGGTAATTGTGCCACAGATCTCAAACATAGAGTTCCAGATAAGAATGCAATGCTTTTTGGAGCTTAGCAAATTGAAGTCTTCATGCTCTGTGAGGTCAGAAATTTTAAAAAGGGAATTAAAAGAAGAAAAAAAATGTTTGTTTTTTAGAGCTAAGCACTGAACCCTGGACCGTGCTAGGCAAATGCTTAACCACTGAGCTACATCCCCAACCCCAGGAGAAATATTTTGCTTTGAACATTTATTTTCCCTTTTCCCAGTATTTGTAATGTATCACACTAGAATTTCATACAGTTGTTTCATCCCTTGGTAATTTTTTCTCTGCCAGTCAAAATACTTCTCTGAAACCATCCTGTGTTATGTCCAGCCATCCGAATTGATCAGGAGCCCTGAGTAGTGGTCATCATTTTATCTCAATGATAGAACCCTTCTCTTTGATGGTTTCCAAAGTGGTGGCCAGCTGCAGGGTCTCGAGCTCGGACGCCCGGTCTCTTGAGACCATCTGAGTCTCCGGCCCCTCCTCCCATGGAGGATTACACATGGCTCCAGCCCTGTTACCTTTGTGTCGTTTTGGCCATCTTTCTATTTTGCCACTATTTCCTTAAAGTTTTTGTCTTCTTTTACTAATTAGTCACTGCTGAAAACAAGTGGAAAAGGCGAGTGCATGTAGGGAAAGACAGGTGGGAAGGTGTACTTTATCCTCCTTCCCTGAGAAAGGCAAGGAGGTAAATATCATCTGGCTAAATGAGGTTTTCACCGCCTGCTAGACTAGACCTGTGACTTAACCCGAAACTCAGACTCAGGAAGATGAATTATACCTCTGAGCGTGAGCCACAGCTGGAGATGAAGCGAAGGACGACACTGATTTGAGTAACTGGAGGGAGTGAGCACTCTTTGGTGTAATGGCACCCCTGTCCCCCACTGTCCACCACATAAGCGGTGTGTGCGTGGCTTCGCCAGTTCTGGGGAGGCTTGGCGAGGGAGAGTGTGATTGTTTGAGGGCTTTGTTGTCAGCAGCTGTGTTCCCAGATGACTCACCTTGTTGGGCTCTGAGTCACTGTCGCCTGCTGCAGCCTCTGTGGATCCCTAACCTCTGCGCTTCCCACACGATGGACCTTTGACTGGCAATTTCTTTTTCATCAGAATAGAGCCCTCTGACTCCTTCACTCAAACTGAGAGACGTACTGAGAGGCCGCTGAGGTCTGGGGGAAGAAGTTGTTTTGGGCAGAGGGGACAATAAAGGAGAAAAATTCCTTGATTCATAGGTCTTGGTGTCAGGTGTGGGTGGAAAACAAAAGCGTTCATTTTGGGCATGCATCCTTGTGGAAGTAAAAACCCAAGGCTTTGGGTTTGCTTCAGGAAAAGACAGTTTCCCATTTTATCTTTGATGCCTATGAAAATGAGTCTTTTAAAGATGCTAATTAATATTAAGCAAGTGTGTTGCACATGTCTGTAATCTCAGCACCCTGGGAAGCTGAGGCAGGAGGATTGCAAGTCCAAGCCCAGCCTGGGCAATTTAGCAACTTAGTGAGGCTGTCTGGAAAGAAAGAGAGAGAGAGAAAGAAAGGTGCGGAGGGAGAGGAGGAGGAGGAGGAGGAGAAGGGGAGGAGGAAACAGAAAGGAAGGGAGGAAGAAGAAAAGGGAAGAGAAGAGAAGAAGGGGGCGGGGCTGGGAATGCAGTTCAGTGTGAAGCCCTGGCTCAGTCTCCAGCGCCGAATAAATGAATGAATTAGAGATATTTTGGCTGAATAGCTGCTATATAAATCAGCGTATTAATATAAAGCTGAAGCCATACATCACCAGCATAGAATGAATTTCTGGGAAGTCAGAATAAATCTGAGCAGTGGGGTTGAGTGGTACCGTGCTCACATAGCAAGGACAAGGTCCCGGGTTTGATTCCCTACACTGCAAACAAACAAAAAAGAATAAACCTGAAAATATGTAAGCATTTTAAATTATTACCGCAGACTTAATGTTTAGCAGTTTAGTAGTCAGCATTGAACAGTGTGACAGTATAGTGCAGGGACAGACCTCCACTGTCAGCTAAGGTGCGTGCTCACGTATTGGCGATGACGTGGCCTGTTTGTCTCCTGAAGTCACTGATGCTGATCAGAGGTAGGTAAGCTACAGCTGAAATGTACTCCTAACACTACAGAGCTTTCTTTTTTGGGGGGGGGTCTGATGCCGGGGATAGAACTCAGGACCTTGCACCCGCAAGGCAGGTGCAGTTCCACTGAGCTAAATCTTCAGCCATACTACAGAGCTTTTTGAGCATACTTTTTTTTTTTTTGGTTTTTT